CGGGTCCCTAGAAATTATTCTATATTATTGGCAACCTCGAGCGCCACAACCTGTGATCCAAATTCCGGAAAACCCTCTTCCAGCACATACATGCTCGCACTGCTGTTGGTGTTTTGGACATCAGAGGAAACAGAAGCCTTGGGTACTCACGTGAGGGTTGGCCTGCATCGTAGAGCGCGAGTAAGTATACGGCACCTCTCCGTACCAGCAGGTGAGCCGCGGCTCCTGGTAGGGCCCGTCTGTCACAAAACAAATCCTGTTACAGGCTGAAAATCTCCATTCTACAACCCGTTCCCAGAGGATGGCGGACTACAAACCCCAGCAACTGGACTCATAGTTCCTCAATCACTACTGGTTGGCCAGATTATATATGCTATGGCAGACAAGCGACCCGCGCTGGGATTACTTAATGTGACACTAAACTCAGTTCAATCTTATAATTACATCCTCCAAGTACCTGAACTATGAACAACAATGTATCTTATTTGTGTATCACTCGGCTGTAGATCCTCCAATCATCTCTGACACTGTCCTTCCCTGGAGGGTGGCTACTTTTGTTCCCCATGGTCCCTGTGTGTGCTGTAAAGTAGTCACCGCTCCAAGCTCGCTCCCGGGATGGACTACAATCTCCCCAATGGGATCACAGACAAAAATAAAACATTGACAGGAATTTTAACTCTTCCCCACCCCAAATTAAGGTTTTATGAAACTTCACCCGCCTCGGGTTCCTGTTTGACCTCCACATACTGGATCAGCCCATTATTATATCATAACTAGGTCTGAGTTGGCTTTAGGTAACTAAAAAACCATGCAAGGAAATTGATTTTTATTTTTTTTAGATGGCAGTATATTCAATCATTTAATTTCATATTGGATTCAATCCCAGCAGAGGAAGAAAGCATGTTTCTAAAAAATATTGATAATTACGCTTCCGCATCTGTATTTAAATATTTTATGCCTTGGCCTGTTCACCACCCCACCTTAGATGTGCCCAGCTTCTGTCTACCCTCCACTGGGGTCTGCAGTGAGAAAAAAAAAAACAAAAGCAAAAAAAAAACGTTTATTATATGTGTACGTATGCATCCATGGGGACCTAAAAAGTCAATTTTCATGCACAATTTCCCAGTATTTATATATTGGTAAGGGGTTCCTTTAATTATTCATTATATATAGGGATGCACCGATATATCAGCCGCCGAAACATATCGGCCGAAAATGGGACTTTTGGCATAAGGCCGAAAGAGCCATGTTTCGGCCGATACATCGGCGCATCCGTGCTTTCTTTTCTCCCCGCTGGGCGCTGTTCTGTGTTCCAGCGGGGAGGAGAGAAAGTGACAGCCTGCGGGAGGAGAGCGATGTGAGCGGCCGGCGTCTCTCCTCCCACACCGCTCAGCCGCCTATCACAGTCCGGCAGAGCAGTGTGTGGGCGGAGACAGCGCTGTCACAGGAGGTTGAGCTCTCCTCCCTACACCGCTCGCTCAGCCTCCTGTGACAGCGTGTCAGAGAGGAGAGCGAGGTACAAACACTCAGTGATCACTGAGTGTGTGTGTACATAATTGAGGATATGGTATGATTACTATATCCTCAATTATGAAAGAATGGGAGTGATCTACATCCCCTCATGTCCATTCATAATTGTAGTTATAGTAAACATACTCTGTCCTCATGTTATCATTCAAACTATTATTCTTGTACTGACTTTTGTAATTCTGGATATTTTTGGTTCATCTCCAGCTGTATATGAGACAGAAGATCTGGTTCTAAAGAAAATGAACAGTCCTTCCTAAATAGGAACAGTCTGAAGACCCGAGTAGGTGATGCAACAGACATGGCAGAGTTAATTGTCATTGGAAGTCTTGTGCAGATGCTGGGAGAACAGACCTCTGGCTCCCTCTGCTGGATGTTTATCAGTACAGCACCTGTGTGGACTTACCCGGCCCCACATTGGATTTCTGCCTCCACGGGATCTCCCGGTGTAACTGTTCAAACATCCACTCTACCTCTCTGGGCTCAATGAACGAGGGGAAAATCCTTAGTCTGCAAAGAGGCAAGGTGTGCTTAGACAGACGCCTATAACACCCGTTATATATTCACTTTACCAGCTGTAGCTCAGTCAGCTATGATCATTTTGCATTTAAATGAGAAAGCCAAGAGCAGCCATTACAAACTCCTTCTGAAAATGACAACCGCCTGACTGCTCTGCTGCTGTTCTGGCATCAATGCTTTCTGCTGCAAGCAAACAAAGACTGATCTGCAAACTTGCTATGGGCTGGTGGTATTGAAGCCACAGGACCAGCAGTAGAAGTGGCAACCTATGACTCTCTCCCATGGTTTCCTTTATACAAGGGCTTGTCAAATTTCAACTTTGTTTCAACTTTTCTTTCTGCAATTGGCTATTCTGCTCACTAAAGGTGTCCTGAGACTTTGGATGACAGCCCCACATGGCCACTCTGGGGAGGCAAATCATTCAGGCAAGATGTATCGATATTATTTACCCCAAGGTAAGCCATCACCGCGACTGCCCTTGCCTCCCCGCCCCGTGTCAGATGCTTCTGCTGAGCCAGAGGATGTAAATGACAGCAGGGGAAGCTAACAGGGAGAGCCCAGCAACTGAATATATTTCATTAACATTGTCTGCCATGAAGAGCTATCTTACCTGGACACTCCAGAGGTCGATGTGCTGATTTCATACGTTCCGGGCTTACTGCAGAGATAAAAAGACACAAATTAGAGGTAAATGGGGACCGTGGATGATGCCCAAACAAGAATGGCGCCGTCCTTCTGCATAGAAAAGCATACAAGGGTATTCTCAGGGGGAGAGCTGTGATCTTTTAGAGAGGTAGTATCTGAAGGGTTAACATTTATACTTTACTGCGCATATCCGCACCCTACATTAAAAAAAGAGATGCTAGGTCCACTTTAAGAAAAGAAGCCTAATGCAACATATGAAAATTTGATAAACATGATCTCTACAGAATGGCGGCTTACTCAATTATTTGGGGGTCCGGGATCCTGCGTGAAACCTGAAAGAGATGAAGGAGCAAAGATGATTACTAGAAAAGAATAGCAGCAAAGTGAGAAGACTTTTCATCTCACAGCCAATGAGATTGCACATGTGTGGATGCAGAGATAGCACTGTACACATATACGTGCTGTGATGGGGGTGTTAATAACAGACGGGGGGCACAGTGCAGGGGCAGGGAGCCGGACACCTCAGCTCCTAGTGTGTAATCACCGTCATAGGGAAAGTGATCATCTGATAACACTGATGTATAAACCCTGATTTTGGTATTAAACTCTTCCTGCCCTTAATGTGATGCAAAAGAATGAGCGGCTGTTCCGGAGAAGAGAGAGAAGTGGTGAGAGAGTAAAAGGAGCAAAGCGAGAGGAGGGAGCAAAAAGAGAGAGAGAGGAGGAGAGGGGGGAGCAAAGAGAGAGGAGGAGGGGAGGAGGGAGCAAAAAGAGAGAGGAGGAGAGGAGGGAGCAAAAAGAGAGGATGAGAGAGGGGAGCAAAGAGAGAGGAGGGGAAGGATCAAAGAGAGAGGAGGGGAAGGATCAAAGAGAGAGGAGAGGAAGGAGCAAAGAGAGAGGAAGGGAAGGAGCAAAGAGAGAGGAAGGGAAGGAGCAAAGAGAGAAGAGGGGAAGGAGCAAAGAGAGAGAGGAGAGGAAGGAGCAAAGAGAGAGAGGAGAGGAAGGAGCAAAGAGGAGAGAGGAGAGGAAGGAGCAAAGAGAGAGAGGGGAAGGAGGAACAAAAGAGAGAGAGGAGAGGAAGGAGCAAAGAGAGAGAGGAGAGGAAGGAACAAAGAGAGAGAGGAGAGGAAGGAGCAAAGAGAGAGAGGAGAGGAAGGAGTAAAGGAAGGAGCGAAGCGGGAGGAGGAGGCAAAAAGAGAGCCGAGAGGAGGGAACAAAGCGCATGGAGAGGAAGGAGAAGCAAGAGGAGAGGAAGGAGTGAAGAGAACTTAGCAGAAAGACAAAGAATATTGCATTTGGTTGAAGAAGACTTTTCATCGGACAATAATATTCACCTCTGTTGGCTCTTTATATACAAACTGTTTGTCTGGAATAACACGCTCGTGTCCCCAGCCCTGAGGTTTTCCTGAGGCCGCGGCAGGTCGAGGCGCTGGAATAAACATGACAGAAAGTTGAATTAGTCCAATAGCAGTGACACGTATATTGTTCTCTGTGCAAAAGGAGGAGACTGCCAAATCCAATCTTCTACAAAAATGCATGGTGTCACATTAGTCCTCTAGCTTCAAAACTGCCCTAATCAGACCAGAACAGAACAAACAAAACATTTAGATCGGACTTCATTATGTGTGTATTTATGAACAATTTCCTGAGAATATCTGTGAACGCTCATTTTGTGCGAATAATGGCAAAAATTAACTGACCTAATAGATTGTCATTTTTGGTCGAATGTATTGAGGTAATAAAACATTATGGCCACTAGATGGAGCTGAGGAGCATATGGTCAGGTCACCCTGGTTAGATAAAAGTCTCCTGATGAGTGTCTGTAGGGTCTGGGTATTTTTACGTGTGGAAGGGTTGGGACCTCTGTCAGGGCTTTATTACTGTCTGTCTCCCCTGGAGGGAGATTTCCCCCTTTTCCTGTCCAGGTGACAGGTGTCAGAAAGAAAAGGACACCGACGACATTTAAAGTCTGACAGAATCTTTCCCTAATCTGCCCAAAAAACTAAAGACAGAAGTATTGGCTTTAGTTGAGTGATAGAGTATATTTAAAGCCAAAACCTTTTTAGGGGGAAGAGAAAAAGGAAATAATTTTATTTCCTATGTTCCTCGGCTCCCTTTAGTGGCCATAAGGCGGTATTTTCCGAATGTTACATTCATCCTGAAAAGATAATGTACTAAGAATGTTCGTTTTTGCCTCGATTCGCACAGAACGAACACTCACAGAGATTTGCGGGGTGAATGGCTCTGCGGATTGTTTTGGTGTACACAGCGGCCGATATGAATGGTTCTCTGGAAAGTGCCCAGAGTACGTCAGCACGATATATACGAGTGAAATAAAGTGTCCAGTTTGATACATTAAAGGTGAACTATGGAGTTAAGGCTTTTCCCCATAGTTCTCCTTAGGGTAACGGGAGGACACAAACTAGCGTCCTCCCGTCACCCTAGGCTCAATATATAGGGAGCTACTGCTCGCAGTATACTGAGACGCTGAAGCGGATCCCGACAATAATGTCTGGATCCGCCCAGCTGCGTGAGTGACAGCCGGCTCTGCCTATCTAGAGGCAGAGCCAGCTGTACCCGCCCCCTCCCCCGTCCGTTCCGCCAGTCAGCGCTGGCGGATCGGAGCGGGGAGGAGGGAATCCAGCCCCTCCCCTGTCACGGCAGAGAGCCATGACAGGATCGAGAGGTGAGTGAACGCCGCTATGTGTTCGCTCACCTCCCGATCTACTGAGCCGACCTGTGACAGTCTCATTGTCACAGGTCGGCTAGAACTATGAGGTGAGTGGAAAGCACTCACCTCATAGTTCTCCTTTAACATTCCATCCAATGGCAGTGCACTCAGTACCTGTGTGAGGAGCGGCTTTCGCTGGTCCCGCCCACGCCCCCTGCACGCGAGCTCTCCGCCTCTTGTCATCCATTCTAATAAGCAGAGAGAACAACCATCAGCTCCAAGATGTCTGTAAACATTAAACACATCAGGGTGATCGGTCTGTATACAGCTACAGGGGAGGAAAAAGACATCATTTAGCGATAAATAACTTTATTAACATATTGATGCAGCGTGTGCACGAAAAAGAGCCTCAAAGTTCTCGATTTGCACCAAAACATTGGACACCAAACTCCCTGTTTCTGTAGATTACAGACAATGTACTACACCCAGCAGGGAATATTTTGGGGTCAGGGCTTTTCCCCATAGTTCTCCCCAGGGTCACGGGAGGACATAAACTAGCGTCCTCCCGTCACCCAAAGCTCAATATACCGCGAGCTGAAGCTGTAGCTGTATACTGAGACCGCCGCAGCCGGGACGGATCCCGACATCCACCCAGCTGCATGAGTGACAGCTGGCTCTGCCTATCTAGAGGCAGAGCCAGCTGTACCCGCCCCCTCCTCCAGTCAGTGCTGGAGGATCGGACAGGGGAGGGGGGGAATCCCTGCTGGGAGCCTTGAGTGACAGTCACGGCTCTCTGCAGGGATAGATCGACAAGTGAGTGTGTGACGGTATGTGTTCGCTCACTTCCCGATCTGTAGAGCTGACGTGTGACAGTTTCATTGAGGATGAGCGATTTTCACTCAACTCATAGTTCTCCTTTAACCACTTTGCGTCCCAAGCAATGTTTCATGTTTGCACACACGCATTAAAATCAGATTTTTGAGAAGTGTGCTGATTTCCCTCCAATACAGCCGCTGTGCTAGTCCCAGGCCTTGGGACAGCAGAGCCCAGAAAGCTGGCACCATGCAAGTGATCAGGCAGCTGTAGCTGTATGTAAAAGCCGACAGTCAGCTGAAAAAAAAACAAGATCACTCAGTATAACCGCTTCAGGACGGTCCAGCTGTAAAGGTATAGTGGTCCTGAAGTGGTTAATAAATGGCTTACAGGGAAATCCTAAGGCTGGAATAACTCCACGGGTTGTGTTAAGAGCACTTTGAAGCATATCAGATGCACAAAGACGGGGCGCTATTCCTCCCAGTGACACCAATGATGGGGCGCTATTCCTCCCAGTGACACCAATGATGGGGCGCTATTCCTCCCAGTGACACCAATGATGGGGCGCTATTCCTCCCACTGACACCAATGATGGGGCACTATTCCTCCCGGTGACACCAATGATGGGGCACTATTCCTCCCAGTGACACCATTGATGGGGCACCATTCCTCCCAGTGACACCAATGATGGGGCACCATTCCTCCCAGTGACACCAATGACGGGGCACTATTCCTCCCAGTGACACCAATGAAGGGGCACTATTCCTCCCAGTGACACCAATGATAGGGCACTATTCCTCCCAGTGACACCAATGATGGGGCACTATTCCTCCCAGTGACACCAATGATGGGGCACTATTCCTCCCACTGACACCAATCATGGGGCACTATGCTGGGGCAACACACACAGCAGAATTGCAGAGCATGCTAACCCAGAGAAACCAATCCAGTTCCAGATCCCTGAAAGAAAGCTTCTGATTGGCTGTCCCCGAGTATCCCTTACTCTGTAACAATGTTACATTCCTGTCCTATGTAAACACTAAAATGAACATTAAAACAAATACACGAATCTGATGTCTGGATTACACACAGAACACCATCCAAATCTCAGTCCTGACACCTTCCTACCTCTCACTCCATGCTGCTACCTCTTCCTGTGTTACACTCAATTCTGTCCCCAAGTTAACCTGGACTAAAGGTTCCTTCCTATTAACAGTCCTATCATGTGTGCTGATCTGATGGATTTGTTGCAGTTGTACATGAAATGACTAGAGGACAATATATATTGCATTCAAAATGAATGGCAGCGCAAAGCAAAAATATAAATTGATATTAATATTAAAAATACATTTTAATCATGTAAAAATATATTCAGAGTTCCTGTGATAGGCACAGAGAAAGTCATGGCTGCAGGAAGGATCTTACTATCAGGATGAGAAGGAACTATAAAGAAGCAGCATAGACCTCCTAGGACTTGTAGTTCCATATCGGCTGCATGCTGTTCTCTGAACACTGGGACTGCTGGGGCTTGTAATTCCACATTTGCTGTGTACTGCCAGTAGCACACTGGGACTGCTGGGACTTGTAGTTCCGTATCAGCTGCATGCTGCTATCTGGACTCTGGGACTGCTTGGACCTCTAGTTCTGTATTGGCTGCATGCAGCAATCTGGACACTGGGATCACTGGGACTTCTGCAGTTGCTGCATGCTGCTATCTGGACTCTGGGACCTGTAGTTCTGTATTGGCTGCATGCTGCTATCTGGACTCTGGGACTGCTGGGACCTGTAGTTCTGTATTGGCTGCATGCTGCTATCTGGACTCTGGGACTGCTGGGACATGTAGTTCCATATTGGCTGCATGCTGTTCTCTGAACACTGGGACATTTAATTCCATAATAACTTTGTGCTGCTAGTAGCTCACTGGGACTTGTAGCTCTGTACTGGCTCAGTGCTGCTACCTGGACACAGAGATCGCTGGGACTTCTGGTGCTACCCTGAAAAGTTGGAGTTGTTGGCACCCCTCAATACCTATTGTGTGAATCGGGAGAACACTTGTTAGATTGGTCCCTTCCATTTTGGTCCCTCTTGCCCTATTGTGTGCTGAAACACCCTCATCGGGCCTTGTGTCCTTGAGTTTCTTTTATTGCCATCTGTGTCCCCTTTGGATAGATGTCTCTTCACTTCCTGCTTTGTAGATACAACAGGAAGTTGAAGGAAGTGTCTCCAAATTGAGAAATCCTCTCTTAAACAGGCCGTACACTATACAATCTGAATGTACGATCTCTGAACAATCTCCTTTAGATTTACCAAAACTATGCGATATGAGGACACACCTAAGCAATCCATTCATTTAGTATCAAATCAGGCCGACCCAACGTGAAAAAAGTAATTTCAGGGAGGTGCCCTCTGTCCTTTTAGCATCCCCCTGAAATAATGGCAGATGGCAAAGAAGCTAAGGCTTCCCGTGCTATCTGCTGTTTTTTTCCCCCAGTATTCTGACAGCTGCTGTGCAGTTGCTTCAGAAAAAAAATTAAATAACAGATAGCAGGGAAAGGCTTCCTCTGCTAGACAGCAGAGGAAACCTTTCAGGGAGAAAATGTTTCTCTCCAGGGCGGCCGGGAGCCGCTATCTAACAGCAGGAGACTCCGGGAACGTCTCGCAGAGTTGGGATGTCTGCAGACCCTTCTATAGATGGTGCTAGATCTAAAGGAGATTGTATAGTGTATTGTAAACATCAGGCGTCCCCATTGGAAGATTTCAGCTCTGTTCCTGTGAGTTCTCCCTAGTGGGTAGCCCATAACCGTATTCACTATTCAGTCACGTGTACCTAACGATGTATTCATCCTCAAGATAATGTTTATATTTTTAAAGTTGTGCATAATGAAACTTGTAGTTATTGATGAAGGTAATAAAAGCTGATATATTGACTGATGTCTGTCTCCACATTGGTTGCGATTTGCCTTCACCTCCTGTATGGTGACCCATGCCTGTTCCATGCTGGGAAGATTTGTCTGCCACGTGGTTTTCCAAAACAAGAGGAAGTGAGAAACAACAGCTGTCCTCATCAGAAGACTTCCCCACTTCCTATTTAGATGACAACTGTGGCACTTTGGATTTGCCATCCTCAGCACAAGGACAAATGGAGTTGTTGGGGGGACAGCAATAAATACCTGATAAACTTTTTTTTTATTTCCACAGCTATGCAAAGTGGGGATCAAAGAGACACCTGAAGGACCTTGGGCCCGGAGATGGCATCAGATGAGGCCGAAACATCCAACTAGTAGGACGTAGAGAGCGTGGGCAGATCGGGTGGCAGCTTTGCAAATCTGGGAAACAAATGCTTGATGCCGAAATGCCCAAGAAGCACTCACAGATCTAGAAGAGTAGAATCAGAAGAGGGTGGAACACAATCCTTGGATTAGATGATGGTCTGTCCGTCACCTAGAGCAGGTCTTCTTAAACTTTCTCCACTCGTGACCCCTTTTTGGCCGAGGAAATGTTCAAGGGACCCCAACATCGGTCGGTGTCTTCCCCCCTCCCCTAGCGCAAGTCGGTGTCTCTCTCCTCTTCTCCCCCCCAGCACCAGTCAGTGTCTCTCTCCTCTTCACTCCCTCCCCCCCAGCACCAGTCAGTGTCTCTCTCCTCTTCTCTCCCTTCCCCAGCACCAGTCAGTGTCTCTCTCCCCCTCCTCCAACCATGCGCACACGTGCTCAGGAAGGTACCAAGTGCACCTTAAAAACTACACTACACTGCAAATTATACATTAAACTGAAATAAAACAATCTAGCTTGGAGCCCAGACCTCCTCAGCCGCCTGGGCCCCTCACACAAGTACCGGCCATACCCTCCTGATGGCGGTCCCGGCCGGGGACTCGGATCGCGACCCCCCTGTTCACTTGCGGGACCCCATATGGGGTCGCGACCCACACTTTAAGAAGCACTGACCTAGAGAAGGTGGAATGAGAAGCTGGTGCACCCTTTTGGGGTCCTTCTGAGATGACATAAAAGGGAGCCAGTATTTCTGACGCAAGCTGTGGCTGAGAGATTGACTCGCACAGCCCGAACCACATCCAGACAATGGAGGGAAAGTTCTTTTGGGTGAATTAGAGCTGGATAGAAGAACAATGTCCTAGTGGAGGTGAAAGGCAGAAACTACCTTCGGTGAGGAATCCCTGGACCTCAACACCACCTCGTCTCTATAAAAAAACAGAAAGGGTTCCTTGGAGGACACGACCACCAATTCAGACCCTCACCTTGCAGGAAATGAAAACAACCTTGTGGGTGAGAGTAGAGAGGACTGTCTCTCGTAGGTTCAAACAGTGGTTTCTGAAGCACAGAGACAACCAGATTGAGATCTCACAGGGGAATGGATGGGGGAAGCTACATGGGACGCTCCCTGTACAAAGATTTTAAAGAGTGAGAGCATAATGGTCACTGAAACAGAATAAAAAGGGCAGAAACCTGACCCTTGATAGTACCAAGAGCTGAACACTGGCCCAGACACAGCTGCAGGAAGGAGAGGATTTGTCCTATGAAGAAACTCCAGGTGTGGAAGTCCCAAGACCCACCCACAGGTGAAGCGTGTCTTCCATGTCCAATGATAGCCTTTGCAGCAAGTAGACTTCCTAGCTTGTAGCATCATGGGAGTCACAGACTCAGACAGATCGCAGCAACATTTGTATGGGGCCCTGTGATTTCTAGTTACACCCATTGCAGAGCCCACCCGAGATCCCAAACAGCTCATCTGAAAGTGACCCTGCAGAGCTCACCATAGACTCTCTATGGTGAGCTCTGCAGGGTCTCAGGTGGGTTGGTCACACCCCTGCACACCTCTTACGCTGTCCACCTCCTCCACGGTCTCTGCCAGGCCCCGCCACCTCTTGTTGCCGGGCCCCACCTCATGTTGCCAGGCCCCGCCTCCTCCTCCGCTGCCAACGCCAGGCCCAGCCTTCTCCTCCGCAGCTGCTGGCCGTCACTGACTCAGCGGCGGCTGTGAGGAGGAACGCGCCGCTGCA